CAGTCTTTGACTCCTAAGATAGAAAGAACATGTAGAATATATATTTGTACTCATGTGGACACAATATTTCATATACTTGCTACCAACTTAAGACTAACAGATGGAAGTCTCAAAAGTTGCTTGAAGATATTTTATATAATATCAACTGCTCTATATTTCATTAGAGAAAGTTTATAATTACTAACTTTGATGGGAGTTATTTCATCAGAAGTCTCTAATGTGTCGTTTTAGTATAGACTCACAACAAGTAAATAGTACTGGCTGTTTTGGGGGTTTTCCTTTTCCATCTTGTGGAATATTGTAAAGAAATCAGATGCAAACTACCGCAATTAGAAAATAAAGTATGAAACAACTTTCAACGATGTACACAATTGATGTTTTGCAAACTAATATTTTCCACTTGTTCATAGTGGAAAAAAAAACAACCGGAAGTAGAACTGTGATTCAATGTGGTGGAGTGCTAGCCTTGAGCAAAAGAACTCAGGGACAGCACTCAGACCTGAGTTCAAGCACCACAACTGACAAAAAAATTAGAAAATAAAATAAAAACTACAATTGTGATGGTATTGGGGATTGAACTCAAAAACCTCAGACTTGTTAGGCAGGTAGTAGGCCACTTAAATGACACTTCCAACCCCCATGTAAATTTTAGATATAATCTTACCTATAAAAAATTACTTTTTCCTGAAAGTAGGTAAAGCAATGTGAGGACAACTGCTATCACTGCTATGTTGAATCTTTCAACCATAAACACTGCGTGTCTTTCCATTTGTTCAGGTCTTCTTTTAGACTATAGTTTTCAGAATATATGTATTATACATTTCCTTTTTTAGTAACTTTAAATGGCATAATTTATAATTAGGATATTAATATGCTCAATGCTAAAAAATATTATGTTCAATAGTAATTAGCATTTAGAAATGCCATTTTTGTGCCAGGTACCAGTGGTTCACACCTGTTGAGCCTAGCTACTTAGGAGAATGAGATCTGAAGATTGTTATTCAAACTAGTATTTTTTGGGGGGGGTCCGGTCGTGGGGCCTGAACTCTGGGCCTGGGCACTGTCCCTCAGCTCTTTAGCTCAAGGCTAGCGCTCTACCACTTGAGCCACAGCGCCACTTCTGGCTTTTTTCTTTTTGCTTATGTGGTGCTGAGGAATCGAACCCAGGGCTTCAGGCATGCAAGGCAAGCGCTCTACCACTGAGCCACATTTCCAGCCCCTGAAGATTGTTATTCAAAGCCAGCCCAAGCAGGAAAAAAAGTCCATAAGATTCTTATCTCCAACTAACCAAAAAGAAAAAAGAAAGAAAAATGAAAAAAAGCAAGAAATGGAGCTATGGCTCAAGTGATATAGCTAGCCTTGAGCAAAAAGATAACACTTAGGCCCTGAATTAAAGCCCCAGCACAAAAAAGAAATTTCTTTTTTAACTTGAATCTTATAACCCTAATAAACAACCTATACTTCTACTTTGTAGGATCTTAGGAATTTTTCTATTTATAAAAAAAAATCATGGAGTTTGAGTTAAAGTCCCAGCACAAAAAACACTAATAAGCAACCTATACTTCTACTTTGTAGGATTTTGCTACTTATTAAAAAAGCATGGAATTTGTCATGAAAGATTTTATTTCTTCTTCTGATCATACAAAATACTATTTATCAAAATGAACCCCAGGAAATGAGAACAAGAAGTATTTTTTTTTTCTTGACTGCTGTTTTCAACTTGTTAACTTTTTTTGTCTTTGGGGGGTGGGAGTCACAGAAATGGAGGGACAAAGAGTGAACATATTCAGCAGTGGTACTCACTAGACCCTACATTAAAAATGAACTATACAAGCTGGGCACCAGTGGATCATGCCGGTAATACTAGCTACTCAGGAGGCTCAGATCTGAGGATCGCAGTTCAAAGCCAACCCAGGCAGAAAAGTCTGTGAGACTCTTATCTCCAATAAACCACTAGAAAACCAGAAGTGGCACTGTGGCTCAAGCAGTAGAGCCCTCACTTTGAGCTGAACAAAGCAGGGACAATGCTCAGGCTCAGAGTTCAAGCCCCACAGCCAACAAAAAAAAGAAAAAAAAATGAACTATAGAACTTGTGGGTGCAGATGGAAGGAAAACAGGGAGAGCAAACAGCTGACAGTTGGCTGTTCATTATTTTTTGTTTTCTTTTGTCTGTATTTCTTTTTTTTTTTGGGGGGGGGGGGTCTGGTCGTGGGGCCTGAACTCTGGGGCTGGGTGCTGTCCCTCAGCTCTTCAGCTCAAGGCTAGCACTCTACCACTTGAGCCACAGCACCACTTCCGGGTTTTTTCTTTTTGCTTATGTGGTACTGAGTAATCGAACCCAGGGCATCAGGCATGCAAGGCAAGCGCTCTACCACTGAGTCACCTTCCCAGCCCCTTGTCTGTATTTCTTATTTGACTATTTGAATTCCATTTTCACTTATCTATATAGTGCTTTTCAGTGCATCTCTTTGTAAACAATCTCTAGTGAATTGGACAGTGGTGGCTCATACCTGTAATCATAGCTACACTGAGGGCTGAGATCACGGTTCAAAGCCAGCCTGGGCAGAACAGTTTGTGAGGCTTATCTCCAATTAACCACTAGAACACCAAAAGTGGCACTGTGGCTCAAAATGGTAAAGCTCCAGCCTTGAACAAAAGAGCTCAGGGACAGTGCCCAGGTCCTGATTTCAAGCCCCAGAACCAACAATAACAACAAGAATCCCTAGTGGTCAAACTAACTGAGCATTTAAGACATAATTGTTACTTGCTAACTTAATCATTTTACCAGTTCAGTTCAAATGAGATAGAAATACTTTGCCTTTACGTCCCTTTACCTAACCCCATTTATAATTGTAAACAGGAAGAAAATGGAGATAAAATTAGACTTTGAAACAACTTGGCTGTGAACAGCATAGAATCAAAGAGAGTTGGGTAAAGTGGAGTCAGAATTTTCTAGTTGATTGACTGAATATTAAAAGATAAAAAGACCTGAGCAACTAAGGAAAAGATGGTAGAAGAAAATGGAGGTTGGGAAGTAAAGAAGAAATGTGGTATGGTTGATGGAACTAACATTTTAAAATAGCTGAAAGGGGGGCTGGGAAGGTGGCTCAGTGGTAGAGCGCTTGCCTTGCATGCCTGAGGCCCTTGGTTCGATTCCTCAGCACCACATAAGAAAAAAGCCGGAAGTGGCGCTGTGGCTCAAGTGGTAGAGCGCTAGCCTTGAGCTGAAGAGCTGAGGGACAGCACCCAGCCCCCAAGTTCAGGCCCCAGGACCGGACCCAAAAAAAAAAAAAAAAATAGCTGAAAGAACTAAGGCATAGCTCAAGTGGTAGAGTATAAAGGGTGAAAAATCCAAATTAAAGGCCCTGAGATCAACCCCCCGCACACATACATGCTTTTACACACACACACACAAAATAATGCTACACATACATACACAAAAAACAACATCACCACCTTGCCAATAAAAGTAAATTAAAAACAACAACAACAACAACAACATAACCAGGTGCCATTGGTTCATCTCTATAATCCTAGCTACTCAGAAGGCTCAGATCTGAGGATCATGGTTCAAAGCCAGCAAGAGCAGGAATGTCCGTGAGTCTCCTATCTCCAATAAACCATCAAAAACCGAAGTGAGGCTGTGGCTCAAGTGGTAGAGCTCTGACCTTGAGCTGAAGAGCTCAGGAACAGCACCCAAGCTGAGTTCAAACCCCATGACCAACCAAAACAAAAAAAATCAGCAAAAAAAAAAAAAAAAAAAAAAATTCACAGTACAAAGGAAGAGGTTACTCAAACTAATAAAAGCAGTATCATTTCCATTGAACTAGGAAGGATAAAAGAAAAGATGTGGCTGGGTGCCAGTGGCTCACGCCTGTAATCCTAGCTACTCAGGAGGCTGAGAGCTGAGGATCACAGTTCAAAGCCAGCTGGGCAGGAAAGTCTGTGAAACTCTTATCTCCAATAAACCACCAAAAAACGGGAAGTGGTGCTGTGGCTCAAGTAGTAGAGTACTAGCCTTGAGCGGAAGAGCTGAGGGACAGCGCCCAGGCCCAGAGTTCCAGCCCCAGGACCAACAGAAAGTATGTATAAGGAGTTTGAAGTAAAGAGGAAAGTCTTATTTCTAACAATGGAAATAAAATTCATCTTCTTGTTAAAGTGCAAAAATTAGTGGAAGAGTAGATTTGATCAAAATGATTCAAATTTAGCCTTGAAGCTCAGAGTGGTGGTACACACTAAGCTCAACACAGAAGTGGCTGACGCAAGTATGAGCTCAATCTAAATACACACACAGACCCCGTGCTTGGGGGGAGGGGAGGGGGATCAGAATTAGAGAACAAATAGAGTATCATTTACAATCAACACGTAAAGCTGTGAGTGATCTTGAAATCATGGAATGTGTAATCAATTTCCAATCTTTAATAATTTTCATAATTGTAGCTTTATGCTAGAGAAACAGAAATAGTGGAAAATTAAAAAGCAACCCAGGAATAAAGTTATTACAGGACCAATTTAAACATAAAGAAACCATAGAGAAATGCCAATACAAATTTCCAATAACTTTAAGTATAAAAGCAAAGGATTATCTCCTGCTTAAGAATACAGAGAAATGCCGGTAAAAATATGCTACAAACTTTTTTCCTATTTTATCAAAATACCTCTGTTGCATAAAATTTTATGATACTGTGAAATATGATTAGATGAAAATTAAATTGGAATTCAGAAATAACTTAAAATTCTCATCTGTTTAACCCTGTCCCTTTGCTGTTATTAATAATTTGCCTCTTAATCCCAAGAAGGGTGTTCAATGCTTAGAATTTTTCTGGCCATAAATGACTTGTCACTTTATATACATAAAAAAATACAAGTATCAATGCATTTGGATTAAAAAAAAACATAAAAAGGCAAGCCACAAGAAAATTTATTTTCCTTTGAAATACTTATTCAATGTTAATAAACAACTCCAAATTTATACAATTACATGTAAAATTTTCTCTTACCCAATTTTACAGGAAAGCCTGGCGGAAGCTTCATTTGAACAAATTCTCTAAGCTTGTTAAAGTGCTTGAAGGGAGCTATTACTTCTAGAACATTCAATAATCTGAAAAACAGAAGAAGAAAAATTGTTTTCACTGTTCAAACTAAATTCTTTGCATCTATACATTGTTTTTAAACTAATTTGGAGATTTCATGAATGAGGAAATTGTACTTTATGCTTCCTGGTTTTAGAATTTTTGTTGGTATTCCTTTTTCACTGCGATAAGGTTTGTAACCTTAGTTTGTGCACACTTAAGACCTTGGATGTTATCAGACTCCCTTTTATATGGATTTAAAGCTTCCACTTGTTTACTAAAATCCACACCCGTTCAAGTTCTTTCATCAAACTTATTGTTTGCATCACAGATTTTCACTAATCACTTGATAAGTTTTTATCAAGTATGTGAATGGCTCCAATTATTTGCCTAATACTCCTTTATTCCATGATCTATTAATTTATTAAATGAGTGTTTCTTGCCATTATATTTAAAGAGAAATCTGACTCCACAGAAATTTCTGGTGATACTATTCTTTTGTCTGTACTAGTATTTCATGGTGTCTCTTAGTGTTCCATATCGAACTACAACTTATTGCTCTTCTGATGTAAATGATTTCATCTTCAGCCAAGATTTTCTTTTTTTTTTTTTGGTGGGTCGTGGGGCCTGAACTCTGGGTCTAGACGCTGTCCCTGAACTCTTCAGCTCAAGGCTAGTGCTCTACCACTTGAGCCACAGTGCCGGTTTTCTGATGGTTGTTAACTGGGGATAAGAGTCTCACAGACAGTCCTGCCATTCCTGCCCAAGCTGGTTTTGAACTGTGATCCTCAGAGCTGAGCCTCCTGAGTAGCTAGGATTACAGATGTGAGACACCAGGGCCCAGCTTAATACCTTAAATTTTTAACAAAATACATTATCAGAACCTTCCTTCCTTTTTTTCCATTTTTCATTTCTTCCTTCCTTTCTTTTTTCCTATAAGGTTTTGAACTTAGAGGCCTGTAACTTGCTAGCAAGCACTTGACCACATGAGCTATACCCTCGACCCTTTTTCATATAGTACACAAAGATAAATACAAGGCCAGGTTGATTTTTACCTCCTTCTGCCTGGTTACCTTTAGATTTTTGTTGTTGTTGTTGTTACCAGTTGAAGTTTAACCATGATTATATTACTGATCATTCTGTACCCATTTTTATTGAAATGTTATCTTGAAGGTACAGTTTTTTATTACAAAAAAATTTCTTTTAACACATTTTGACTACTATTTGTCACACTTGGAAGACTAAGTGGAACTATCTACACTTCTTATGGTTTAACTATCACTGTCCTCCAAATCTATTATTTTGCTAATTGCTTTCATCTGTTCTTCCTTTCATTTATTATGAGCTATCAAAATTTCCTTTTCAGTCACATTTAGTCTCTTTTTTCTACTGTATATAAGTTTTGGGGGGTTTTTGGTGGGGTTTTTAGTGGGATTCTATATAGTATGACAGGGGTTCTAACTACTTGAGCCATACCCCTACCCCTATATTTGTTTTCTAACACTGCTATTTAATTGCTCTATTTTTTTAGCTTTTCAATTTTGTTGTTGTTGTTGTTGTTGTTGTCAGTACTGGGGCTTGAACTCAGGTCCTGGCTGTTGTCCCTAGGCTTTTTTACTCAAGGGTAGACACTCTACCAATTGAGCCACACAGCTCCACTTGTGGTTTTTTGGTGTTTAACTGGAGATAAGAGTCTAATGGACTTTCATGACCAGGCTGGCTTTGAACTCTGATTCTAAATCTTGGGCTCCTGAGTAGCTAAGATTACAGGCATTACTCACCAGCACTTGGCCTTTAATCTCTTTATTTCATTTGACTGTCTTTCATTTCAGAGTGGTCTAATTTTACAGATTTCATGCTCATTATGTGATTTTTCCATAGGCTTTACAAAACAATTTCTTCTGTTCTCTGAACTTTGACTCTAGAACAAATACTTTGTTGACTGCAATGTTCTTTATATTCTATTTTATTTTTTTTGTCCAGGGATAATAATTCCAATTTTGATATATATGTTTCTAAATGTAACATACTTGAAATTGAGTACTCCTAAAAATTAATGTCAGCATAAAATTAGCCACACTGCTTCTTTATTAGTAAATGGAATATAAAGCTGGTACATCATAGAGCCTCCAGGATCACAGATATGATGGATTTTTGGCATGGATATTATGCATGGATAAATCCCTTCTTGCACTTTCTGAAACTTATCTCTTTGGCCTATAGCTTTTGGACTATACAGAACATTTACTTTCCTAAATTAGCCTTAGGAAAAAGTCAAGAAATATACTGGATGAATGGTAAAGTCCATCACTCTTATCTCCAATAAACTACTCAGAAAAAGCCAAAAGTAGCACTGTGGTTCAAGTGGTAGAGCACTAACTTTGAGCTAAATAAAGCTCAGGGACAGTGCCCAGGCCTAGAATTCAAACCCCAGGACTGGCAAAAATACTACCATCCCCACCCCCCAGTTGGTCAAGGGCTTGAACAGGCTTGTGCACTCTTCAGCTGCAGGCAAGCACTCTACTGCTTTGAGCCACAGGGCCACTTCCAGTTTTCTAGTGGTTTATTGGAGATAAGAGTCTCATTTCATTGGAGATAAGAGTCTCTTGGACTAAGATTACCACCCTGGGGTTGGCTTTGAACCGAAATCCTCAGATCTCAGCCTCCTGAATAGCTAGGATTACAAACGTGAGCACTGGTGCCCTGCTCCAAATACTATTTTTAAAGGGGGATCTTGCCCAGCACCAGTGGTTCACGCCTGCAATCCTAGCTACTCAAGAGGCTGAGATCTGAGGATGCAGTTCAAAGCCAGCCCAGGCAGGAAAGTCTGTGAGACTCATCTCCAATTAACTGCCAGAAAACAAGAAGTGGCACTGTGGCTCAAGCGGTAGAATGTTCACTTTGAGTTGAAGAGCTGAGGCCCAGAGTTCAAGCTCCATGACCGACAAAAAAAAAAAAGGGGGGGGGGGGGGTAATCTGATGAGTTATGAGTCTGAATGTTCACTGCAATATTGTTTCAAAGGAACTAAAAACTATCAAAATGGGGCTGGGAAGGTGGCTTAGTGGTAGAGCGCTTGCCTTGCATGCATGAGGCCCTGGGTTTGATTCCTCAGCACCACATAAGCAAAAAGAAAAAAGCCAGAAGTGTGTGGCTCAAGGGTAGAGCGCTAGCCTTAAGCTGAAGAGCTGAGGGACAGCACCCAGGCCCAGAGTTAAGGCCCCATGAACGGACCAAAAAAAAATCAAAATGTTTTTTAGTCGAGGAATGATAAAAATAAATGACAAACACCAACTACTACAAATACATCAATTGAACAAGAAAAAGAATTAGACAAAAATGTAGTTACTTTAAGAATTCCAATATGGACACCACTTCAAAAGAAAAAAGCAAGTAACTGAACAAAATCCAAATTTGCCATTTTTATTTTTAAAATGTAAAAATACTGGTAAATTTAGACAAAAATACACCAGTCCTATGATTGGTGTGGGGGGGGAGGTACATTCTTCAATCTATAAATTTCCATGCCATGGTATACTTTACACTAGTAGTCACGTATTACTTCAATAAATTTTTGGAAACTATTCAAAAATTTATCTGAAGAAAATGAAAATACTTTTGCTAACCAGAACATTTCTAGAAAAATACCCTCATTAGTAAAGCAAGAGCTGTTTGTTTTTAGATTTCAAAAGCTTCAACAGTACTCTCAGTTGCAAATATTATTACAATCTTTAAGGCTTCTATCGTGAACATAAATAATGAACTTACAATTCAATCCCTAAGGGAAATTCCTGGCTCATGGCTATTGTGGCTTTAAATGTCTTCTTACTTTCTTTGCACACCAGTTCTCTTCCCAGATGAGGAGCTCTAAAGTTAAAAGAAAAAATAATAAAGGAAAGAAAAAAAAATATGTTAAGAAACTTGTTCCATTCTAGATATTAATCATCTACCAATGAATTCATGCATAGCTCAATTTTTCTTATTGACTATAGAAATGAATTAAAATTATGCTACAAAGAATAAGCTGAAAGTAAGAAATGAAACAAGCATAACAAAATAATTTTTAAAATTTGGAAAAAAATTATCAGATTTCAATTAATTCACATTGAATACAACTGAGTTTTAATTAATCAGTATAATCTATCTTCAAGTCGCTTACTGTATTCAATCTCATTTACTATCTACTACAATTTTATCACAAATTGTAAAGAAAAAATGCCAGACATTGGTGGCTCATGCCTATAAGTCTAGCTACTCAGGTGGCTGAAATTCCATTAGACTCTTATCTCCGATAAACTACTCAGAAAAAGCCAAAAGTGGCACTGTGTCTCAAGTGATAGAGCGCTAACTTTGAGCTAAATAAAGCTCAGGGACAGTGCCCAGGCCTAGAATTCAAGCCCCAGGACTGGCAAAAATAAGTTAAATAAAAGAACTCTATGCTAATCATGTTCAAAAGCAAATTATAATATAATTTTTAAAGATCTACTTTATTATTTTTGCATTTCTATGATAGGGTCACACTTTATACCATAAAAAAAAGGTTCTACTGGGCTGAACAGAGTATGTTTGCTTTAAAGACATGAGAAAGAGGTAAAAGAAGAAACAAAATAAACAGAGTGTGTTAAAATTATTTTCCATACAACACTGACTCATGTTGACTGGAATCTCTTGGAGGTGTTTTACTTGGTTACAGTTTTTGCCAACTGACCTGTTATATTTAGTTTGATTTATGGCACATATCACACAATAGTCTATTTTGACTTGGTCTGATCAGATAGATAGTATGACAAACTTGTTCAAAAGAATGCCCAGAAACTGTTTAACACTATAGAATATTAAGACAGAGAAATTTTATAGTGAAGTAATAGTAAAAGTAACAAATCCTTCAATAAGAAAAAAAGAAAAAGATAATTTCCCTCTGAACATTCTTCATCTTTTTTTTTTTTTTTGGATAGTCCTTGGGGCTTGAACTCAGGGCCTGTCATTGTTCAAGGCTAGCACTCTACAACTTGAGCACCACTTCTGGCATTTTCTGAGTAGTTTTATTGGAATGAGTCTCATAGACTCTTCTGCCTAGGCTAGCTCTGAACTGCAATCCTCAGATCTCAGCCTCATGAGTAGCTAGGATTATAGCTGTGAGCCACCTGTGCCCAGCCATTCATCATTCTTTTAGTAAGTAAGTATGTACCAGCTATGTACTAATACTTAATTAAGAGTTAGGAATATTAAATACAAACTATGTGCTAACTACGATAATAAATGCTAATAATAGAACAGTAAGCAAAGGCCTCAGGAGGGGTAATGTGAAGTAGAGTAAAATAAATGAAAAAATAAGATAGGAAAATAGGGGAAAAAACAGAATAATTTTATATACAATGATAGAGAATCACAAAAAATGAATAAATTCATTACACAATGGAAAGTTTCAAAGAAGTTAACTACATTGGGCAATTTTCTACATTATATTTCCTTAGAAAAAGTCCTACAAGGTTTTTTTTTTGTTTGGGTTTGGGTTTTTTTTTTGTGAGTATAAATTACAGAACGAATAGACCGAGAAAGAAGGCTCTACAATCTTACTAAAGCCTATATACTTGGGATACTCCCTCATCATTCTTTTTTTTTTTTTTTTGGCCAGTTGTGGGGCCTGAACTCTGGGCCTGGGCACTGTCCCTCAGCTCTTCAGCTCAAGGCTAGTGCTCTACCACTTGAGCCACAGCGCCACTTCTGGCTTTTTCTGCTTATGTGGTGCTGAGGAATTGAACCCAGGGCCTCATGCATGCAAGGCAAGCGCTCTACCACTGAGCCACCTTCCCAGCCCCCTCCCTCATCATTCTTAATCCATATTTTTAGAAAGTGAAAAAAAGTTTCAGACAAAAATATACCAATATTTTCTTATAAATTCAAATACCTAGGTATTTATACAGTTTACTTTTACAGTTTGTTCTTTCTACAATTCAAAGCCATAAAACCACCTACTTTCCATTTTCAGCAGATATATATTCTTCCCAAGTAATAGTGTTCTGAGGAGGAGGGGTAAGGGACTGTCTTCGAACAGGCTGCCAAAAAATAAAAGAAAAAGTGCAGAGTGTAAAGAAAAGTTACATTTTTTAATACAAAATTTTTTAATACACACAGTAAGCTGACACTGGGAGTTTTGCTCACTGGTAGCGTATACATACAATAGCATATAAGCAGCTCTGACTTCAATTACCAACACCAAAAATAAACAAGGAAGGGGAGCAAACTATTTAATACAAGCTACTTGGAAGTGGCTCTGTAGCTCAAAGGGTAGAGTGCTAGCCTTGAGTGAAAAAGCTCAGAGACAGCACCCTGGCCCTGAGGTCAAGGCCCACCACCAACAAAATAAATAAATAAATAAACAACAATCTATTTAACCACTTCAACATGCTACTTGAAAAGATTGCAAGATAGATCAGTCGTGAGGCCTGAACTCTGGGCCTGGGCACTGCCCCTCAGCTCTTCAGCTCAAGTCTAGTGCTCTACCACTTGGGCCACAGCGCCACTTCCAGCTTTTTTTCTTTTTGCTTATGTGGTGCTGAGGAATCGAACCCAGGGCCTCAGGCATGCAATGCAAGTGCTCTACTGAGCCACCTTCCCAGCCCCTGCCAATGCTTATTGTGCTATTTGTAACATCACTTGAAAGCCATACAAAATTATAAATACAGGCAGCCTAAAAGCAGTGAAAGAGAAATGTGTCAGTGCTATCATGGAAGTAAACCATACAATTTGTGGGTGGAGATGGGAGGGAGGAATTGGGAAAGAATGAGGGAACAGAAGACATTATGTGAAAGGACACGTACTAACTAACTCATATAATTATAATCCCTCTGTCCATCACCTCTAGAATAAAGTTAATTATTTTTTAAAAAAGATTTAAAAATTCTCAGAGATACAAAGCAAGTGAAAAACAAGAATTTATTTAACATTTTTAAAAAAGGCCTCATATGTAAGGCCCAGACATCTAGAAAAAGATAGTGGTATGGGTACAGGAACTACAAGTGTCCTAACATTTATTACATTAGATAAAACGGGGGGGGGGGGGGGGGGGGGGGCAACAGGATGACATGTGTGCATAATTAGCTATTCCAGCAAAGTGAGACCTGGTTAGTCATTATTTCCATTCTGATTATACAGAGGACTCCAGAAAAGTCGCTACTGCTGTCATTACATGATGGAAGCATCTGGTCCCCATAAGATGTTTATTCCTGCATTCAGGCTTCAGCTTCACCTCGTGGTGAAGATCTATTCTGTGACGCTCTGCTGTTTCTTAGGTATTGTTTTAGTCCCCTGTGTAACTTTGTCAGGGGAAGGGTTGGGGAGGAGTTGGGGAGAAAGGGAGGGTAGGGGAAAAACAAAGGAGGGGATAACAATACTCAATAGGAAATGTACTCATTACCTTGCTCATGTAAGTGTAACCCCTCTGTACAATATCTTTACAATTAAAAATATATATTTAAAAAAAGGTGTTATAGATCAGGGTCTGTCAATCACAATATCCAGGATGTTTCATTGAAGAAGAGAGGCCCCAAGCAAAGAAGACAGATATAAAAGGGAGGCAAGGATGTCAAGTTTTTATGTTACTTTCAGTTAACTCGTGGACCCAAGTAAGGAGTCATTTACAACCTTTTAGCAAAAGCAGTTAAGTTTCTATGCACCTGTTACAATTCCACATTGATTTAAGCTCCAATAGACATATTATCTATCTTTTCTGGATTCTCGTTGGTATTAAAGTAGTGAACTCATTCAATGTTTCGCTCATCTAAAATTAAAATGTCTGCACATTATGCTAACTGCTGAACATAGTAGTTAGAGAAGCTGAAGAACTAACTTCAGGTATAAAGAACGATATAAGTCAGGGGAAGAACAGTTGCTTAGCATGCATAAGGTCTTGAATTCAAACCCCAGCACCACCAAAAAGAAAAAAGAAAGAGTTGAGAAGTAGAACATAGCTTAGATGTATCAGACTCTAGGTTCAACCCATAAAACTACAAACTAAATACACACACATACATATCAAACTATCAGAGTCAACAGGCAAGCAGTCTATAAACTGCTATTCTACATTCTCATCGCAAAATGACTTGTCATTATTAGGGTAGCCATAACCACCCTGATAATGAAGACAGTTATTAAAAGAAACTCTAAACAAGATTTAAATCACAAGTCAAAATAGCAATATTTTTTTTGGCTGATCAACAATAAGGAAATGGGGTAGTTTTGTTAAAGACTAAGGCATTCCTTTTAACCAACTTATCTCCTCTTTCTCCTGTACACATGCTATGCTACTTTCTTTTATTGATCAGAAGACCAGAAAATGAAGAGACTCTAATTCAAGCCAGAGAAAAAACAAAAAAGCATAAATACAACCTGTTAGGAAAGGATAGGATCACACTAAATTGGGAGTTTCAGCTTAAGTATTTTACATAGTATACTCAATTATCTATTGCTAATTAATTCATGGACTTCCCACATTAAAATATTTTCCTGGAACACGCAGAATTATCATGAATTATTTTGGAATCTGGCATGCTACTACCCTTCAGAGGTGTCCATATCTAAAACATATAATCTGGCGCAATACCACAGGGGAGGGACTAAACATACAAGAAATCCAAGTTTTCTGCTACTATTTCATTTTTCTATGACTATTACATTTTCAGTATAATCTAACAGCCCCACATATGAATACAATACATCCACCTCCAAAATTATTGTTTTATGAGCCAGTAATGACTCTGCATCATGGGCCCTTTTTAAAAATCTATTGCTTTTCAGCATCACAAAAGCAAAAAGGGTCAGAAGTGGTGCTGTGGCTCAAATGGTAGGGTGCCAGCCTTGAGCTGAAGAGCTGAGGGACAGCACCCAAACCTAGAGTTCAAGCCCACAACCAGCCCAAAACAAACAAACAAAAACACATCAGGAGCCCATAGCAGACTCCAGTATTTGGGAGAGTGCATCCAGAGCATCTGATCTTCCCAAGAGCACCCGCAGGAGCAAACACAAGCAGTCTAGGCTGCTCAACCCTTCCAAAGGCGGGAATTGCTACAGCAGAGAGCTGAGAATCCTAAGTAAGTCAGAATAGCAGCTGGAAATAGGCTCCCAACAGAATCCAGATCAGGCACAGACTCTCTCTACCAATACAGAATCAGCAACCAAGCAAAGACAGACACACCAAAACAAGATTGAAGAGCAGTCTCCTGAACCCCCATGCGAAAATCACAGAGAAAAATCACAAGGTTTACCACTACCCAGGACAGCAAGCTCACCTCAAAAGCCAGCAGCCACGCAGGGGAGAGCCCCAGTGGGAGCAAAGCAGGAATGGAAGACAAAAGCTACATCCAAGGGTTGCTGGAGGCAATGACTCAAGAAATAAAGCGAGAAATGGATCAGAAATTGAAAGAGCACAAGGATGAACTATCAAAAGATATACAGGATATCAAACAAAAGTTGGACGCAAAAATAGAAGCTGCACAAACCTCAGTAAGAAGTGAGATAAACGCCAAATTAGAGGTAATGCATACTGATCTCACCTCATTGAGAGGTGAGATCAGTACTCTGAGAACCAACATTGAATCCATAAAGGGATCCATTTCCACCATGCAAACCACAATAGAAGCCACGGTCAACAGAGTGAATGAAATGGAAGGTAGAGTGTCAGATACAGAAGACAGAATACACCAACTGGACCAAAAAGTGACAGATATGGAAAAATCACTCAAATTAAACCAAAGGGAAATTCAAGAGCAAGCAGATAATGCTAAAAAATTTAACCTTCGCATAATCGGAGTGGACGAAGGTGAGGAATTCCAGAGCAAGGGAATGCAACACCTATTTAACAAGATAGTCAATGAAAATTTTCCCCACCTCAAAAACGACCATCTTAACTACATCACAAAAGCTTATCGAACACCCAACAAGCAAGATCCCAGGAGAAACACTTCTAGACACATTATAGTAAAAATGATGGATCTGAATAATAAGGAAACAATCCTGCATGCAGCAAAAATGAAGAAGGAGCTATACTACAACGGGAAAAAAATTAGAATCACTGCAGATCTCTCCACACAAACAATGAATGCAAGAAAAGCCTGGGAAAGCACCATACGAGCCCTGAGAGCCAATAACTGCCAACCCAGACTGATATACCCGGCAAAGCTAGCATTCACATTCGATGGAGAACTGAAAACTTTTAATAGCAAAGAAAAACTAAATGAATACATAAACATTAAGCCAGCATTACAAAGAATTCTAAGAGGGGGGACACAACCTGAAGAAAGCAACCAGAAACTGGGACCTGCCCCAAACAGGCATTACTCAAAGTCTAACTGAGCAAGCACAGGAGGAAAGGAAAGAAGAAAAACTTAGGAAAACGGAATGGCAGGGACAACAATGCATCTCTCTATACTTTCTCTTAATATAAATGGGCTGAATTCGCCAATTAAAAGAAAACGAACTGAGGACTGGATCAGAAAACAAGACCCATCCATCTGTTGCCTTCAGGAGACCCACCTCTCAGCCAAACATACAAACAAACTCAGAGTGAAGGGGTGGAAAAGGATCTACCAATCAAATGCCCCCAGTAAGAAAGCAGGTGTAGCTATCCTGATATCTGACAAAATAAACTTTTCATTAAAATCAGTACAGAAAGACAAGGACGGACACTACATATTAATAAAGGGAACAATCCAAGAGGAGGATATAACCATCATCAACTTATATGCCCCAAATATCGGTGCACCCAGATTTGTCAAACAAATGCTCTCAAACTTACAGAATAAAATAGATCCCAATACGATAATACTAGGAGACTTTAACACGCCACTCTCACCAAAGGACAGGTCTACCAACCAGAGGATTGGCAAAGAAGCTACCGAATTAAGTGAGGCCATACTTCAAGCGGAATTAACTGACATCTACCGAGTATTTCACCCTAAAACAACACAGTACACATTCTTCTCAGCAGCTCATGGAACTTTCTCCAAAATAGACCATATCATAGTTCATGCAAGGAACTTAAGCAAATACAAAGGGATCGACATAATCCCCCGTATCCTATCTGACCACAGTGGAATCAAGCTAGCTCTCAATAACAAAGCATACCGCAGAAATTTCTCTAATACATGGAAATTGAACAGCACACTTCTTAACAATACCTGGGTAACAGAAGAGATCAGAGAAGAAATAAAGCATTTCCTACAACTCAATGAAAATGAAAACACCTCACAAAGAAACTTGTGGGACACAGCAAAAGCAGTCCTGAGGGGCAAATTTATTGCCCTCAGTGCCCACATCAAGAGAATGGAGACAGACTAAGTAAATAATCTCATGTTGCAACTAAAACAGCTAGAAAAACAAGAAAAAATGGGACCTAAAGCTACTAGACGAAGCCAGATAACCAAATTAAGACCAGAGATTAACCAATTAGAAAATCAGAAAACCATAACCAAAATAAACCAAACAAAAAGCTGGTTCTTTGAAAAAATAAAATTGATGGCCCGTTGGCAAGATTAATTCAAAAAAGAAGAGAGGAAACCCATATTAATAGGATTAGGGATGCCACCGGAAACATCACAACACGTACCCAAGATATCCAAACAATTCTAACAGACTACTTTCAAAAGCTATACTCTCTAAAGGAAGAAAATCTGGCAGAAATGGATGCATTTTTAGAGAAATACAAGTTACCCAAACTGAGCAAAGAAGAAGTTAACCAATTAAATAAGCCAATATCCTATAATGAGATACAGGAAGCTATCAAAAGTCTTCCAACAAAAAAAAGCCCAGGACCAGATGGATTCACAGCAGAATTCTATAAGACCTTTAAAGAAGAACTAATACCCATACTCCTCAAGCTCTTCAGAGAAACAGAGAAGGAGGGAGCTATCCCAAACTCATTCTACGAAGCCAATATCACACTCATCCCCAAACCAGGCAAAGACCCAACCAAAAAGGAGAATTACAGGCCAATTTCCTTGATGAACACAGATGCAAAGATCCTTAACAAGATTCTAGCTAACAGAATCCAGAAACACATAAAAAAAATAATACACTATGATCAGGTAGGCTTCATCCCAGAGACACAGGGATGGTTTAACATACGTAAGTCAATAAATGTAATCCAGCATATCAACAGAGCCAAGGTCAAGAATCACATGATTATCGCCACAGATGCAGAAAAGGCCTTTGATAAAATTCAACATTCATTCATGCTAAAAGCTCTGGATAAAATAGGAATAGAAGGAACATTTCTAAAAACAATAAAAGCCATTTATGACAGACCAATAGCCAATATTATACTTAATGGGGAAAGGCTACAACCAATCCTCCTAAAAACAGGAACAAGGCAAGGATGCCCACTGTCTCCACTCCTCTTCAACATAGTCCTAGAACCCTTAGCCAGGGCAATAAGGCAAGAAAAAGACATTAAAGGGATCCACATAGGGAAAGAAGAAGCTAAACTGTCCCTTTTTGCAGATGACATGATACTATACCTCCACGATCCCAAAAACTCCATCCCCAAACTTTTAGAAATCATAAGTCACTTCGGCAAAATAGCAGGATACAAAATAAACCCACAAAAATCAGTTGCCTTCCTATACACTGATAACGCACAGGAAGAGAGGGAAATAAAGGGAGCAACCCCATTCACAATAACCTCCCAAAAAATAAAATATTTAGGAATTAACCTAACCAAAGATGTAAAAGAACTATTTAATGAGAACTATAAAAAGTTAAAGAAAGAAATTGCAGAAGACACTAGGAAATGGAAAGACCTTCCATGCTCCTGGATAGGCCGACTTAATATAGTAAAGATGGTGATACTTCCAAAACTAATATACAAATTCAATGCAATTCCTATTAAAATCCCAATGACGTACATCACTGAAATACAGAAAACAGTCCAAAAATTTATATGGAACAACAAAAGACCTAGAATAGCCAAAACAATTCTAGGGGATAAAGACAATATGGGAGGGCTATCCATGCCAAACTTCAAACTCTACTACAGAGCTATAATAACAAAGACAGCATGGTACTGGCACAAAAACAGACCCGAAGACCAATGGAACAGAATAGAAGATCCAGATATAAATCCACAGGCCTACAGTCAGCTGATATTCGACAAAGGAGCCAAAGACATACAATGGAAGAAACACAGCCTCTTCAACCGCTGGTGCTGGGAAAACTGGGCAGCCACATGCAGAAAACTAAAAGTGGACCCCAGCCTATCACCATGCACCAACATCAACTCAAAATGGATTAAAGACCTTAACATTAAACCTGAATCTCTGAAACTACTGCAGGACAGAGTAGGAGAGACACTTGAACTAATAGGCACAGGAAGGAACTTCCTGAACAGAGTCCCAGGGTCACTACAAGTTGGAGAGAGACTCGACAAATGGGACTACCTTAAAATAAAAAGCTTCTGCACAGCTAAGCTAGAAAGACAACCAACTAATTGGGAAAAAATATTTACCAGCAATATATCAGACAAGGGGTTAACATCCTGTATATACAGGGAACTCAAGAAACTAATCCCTCCCAAACCTAACAAACCAATTACTAAATGGGCAAGGGAACTAAAGAGGGACTTCTCAAATGAAGAAATAAAAATGGCAAAGAAACACATGAGGAAAATGTTCATCATCCCTGGTGGTGAAGGAAATGCAAATAAAGACAACCCTGAGATACCACCTCACCCCAGTCAGAATGTCCCACATCCACAAATCAGCCAACGACAAATGCTGGAGGGGATGTGGAGAAAGAGGAACCCTGTTACACTGCTGGTGGGAATGTACACTTATACAACCACTTTGGAAAGCAGTCTGGAGGGTCCTTAGAAAGCTAAAGATTGACCTCCCTTACGACCCAGTCATACCACTTCTAGGCATCTACCCTGAACAACAGGAACCAATATACAAGGACACGTGCACCTCCATGTTTATTGCAGCACTGTTCACAATAGCTAGGATATGGAAACAACCTAGATGTCCCACCACAGATGAATGGATCCAAAAAATGTGGTATCTATACACAATGGAATATTATGCAGCCATTAGAAATGACAAAATAATGGCATTTGCAGGGAAATGGATGGAGCTAGAAGGAATCATGTTGAGCGAGGTAAGCCAAGAACGAAGAGACAAATGGTACATGGTCTCCCTGATAAGTGGATGCTAAATCCAAAATGTTAGGTGATACGACAAAACTAACAGGACTTAAGAAACAAAGAACTCCTGCTCATCTGGTTGAACCACTACTAAATATCCCCATGCTGCTGATCACAAATATGGTATATAACATGTGAACACTGTTATATATTACAGACTGTGGTAGACAATTTGCTCCAGGGAAGTTAGAATGAACTTGTGACTTTGAAATTATGTAATCACTTAATCACAATCAAAAAAAAAAAAAAAAAAGAATCTCGGGGAACGGAGGGAGGGAGGGGATGGTAGGGGGAAAACAATGGAGGGGGGTAACAATGTTCAAGAGGAAGTGTACTCATTACCTCACTCATGTAACTGTAACCCTCTGTATAGTATCTTTACAATAAAAAAAAAAATCTATTGCTTTTATTAAGGAAAGGTGGTCATGGCCTATTAAACTAGTTGCATTACCTCCTAAGGGTTCCCCACCATACAGTTAGAAAAAAAATACAGGAAAACATTAACATTTGGGAAATCTTCATAAACAATATCCGAGAATTCTCTGTAGTACTGTAATACTTATTTGTAAATCTAAAATTGTCAAAAAAATAAATAAATAAATATTAGCTGGACACCAGTGGCTCATGAGGCTGAGATGATCATGGTTTGAAGACAGCCCTGACTGAAAAGTCCATGAGACTCTTATCTCCAATTAACCAACACAAAGTTGGAAGCAGAACTGTGGCTCAAATAGCACAGCATAAGTCTTGAGCACAAAAGGTCAGGGACAGCACCGAAGAGTAGTTCAAGCCCCAGCAACGCACACATGCATGCACGCACGCACAATTTAAGAAGCAATCTAATTCATTTTATTAGGAAATAAATAGCAAGAGCTGTCACCATATTTCGTGTTTTATTAATTTCCCTTCCCTGTACTATTAGTCATTCAATATTTGCATATAGTATGTATTCATTAAACAGATGCAAAATAAAAAAATATTTTGAAGAGGAAATAGCCTCAAGACTAACATAATAAGAGCTGGTCCTTCAAAGCAGCAGATTTCACTGAAGCAGATTATATGTAAAGGGGTATGGAATAAAATTTAACCCTGTGTTTCACACTAACAAAATGATTTTATATTAAGGAAGAATCTAATACCAATGTAGAATCATGAAACATAACGAAGTCTGGTTTTTTTTTTTCCTTTTCTAATAATGACATGACAAAGATAAAGACTCATGTAAAAATAAAAGGCATTACATAGTAAATATAATAACATATAAGTAAACATATTTTTACATACACATCTCAAATGCCAAGAATGAAGTTCATTCTCTCTCTTTAAAAAACTGTAAACTGTACCTCAAAATTCTGTTCCATTATGTTTCCACCTTTACTCAAACTTTCCATGATGGCCTTATTTCGAAGAATATCCTCTTCACTAAGATGTTCTCTTCTTTTCCTTGATTCTAAAACAAGTCCATTCACCAGATAGAAGTCTGCCAAAAAGTTTCCTACTCTCTCCTAAAACAAAATCAAATATTCCAATACAATAAATTTTAAAGTAAGTTTATCTTAGAATTCAAAAAGTTTAAACGTAGTATATTTTCTATAAGCATTTAGTATATAGGTAAAAATAAATTTCAAATAAATTACAAGAGTATTTTATTGTATTCAGTTAAAAAATTTAAATTATACACTTGTAATCAGTAAAGAGAAGTTTAAATGACACAAAGATGTATGGTAATTAACCTGATAATGAGTTAAGTCTAAATAAAAATACCATAGTATTCCTTTATCTACTCCCAAGTAGCACAAAGCTATCTGAGAACTTTATTAAACCAACAATCGAATATTATAAGTAACAAGGAGGGGTCAGGGATAACACTGTTCCCATTTTATAGATAGAAAAAAAAAAGTAGAATAACAATAGTTTAAGTCACAAAGGAATCTCATACAACTAGAATTAGTGACCCTGTGCTTATTTTCTATTCTTTAGGACCAAAACTGAGAACTGCTTGCTGCTTTGCAAAAAAGAAAATGGATCAGCCTTGCTCCCCAACACAAGTACATGTTTTGAATAATGAATAGGGGAGAAGGAAATTCAAGTAACATAAATAGTAACAAGAGTGATAATTTTAATAAAGTCTTGATAAACTTTCAAGATTTCCAAACCCACAGTGGCCAGGGGAAAGAAAGGAAGGAGAGAGGGAGAGAGGGAGGGAGGGAGGGAGGGAGGGAGGGAGGGAGGGAGGGAGGGAGAGAGAGGGAGAGAGAGAGAGAAGGTCCAAACCCACAGTGGCCAGGGGAAAGAAAGAAAGGGGAGAGGGGGAACAGGGTGGGAGGGGAAGGGAGGGAGAAAGGGAAGAAAAGAGGAAGGGAAGAAAAGGGGAAGGGGAAGGGAAGAAAAGGGGAAGGGAAAGGAAGGGAAGGAAAAAGGAAGGGGAAGGGGAAGGGGAGGGAAGGGAAGGGGAGAAAAAAAATAAAGAAAAACAGCAAAAACAAGCTTCCCAATTCTACCTTCATGTAGTGACTTAAGTTTCCACCTAGCTTCAGAAAAACAGCTAATACAAGCTTCCCACTACCTACATGTAGGTAACTTAGTTTTCACCTTCCTTACAGAAGTATTACTAAAAAGCAAAGCATGTGCACTAGTTTCTACCTACAAAATGGGAACCATAAGCATACTGACTCCCTCCTTACCTGTCAAAGATTTAAGGAGATCACCTAGACGCTGTTCAAGAGCTTTGAGCTGCTTAGCAGTAGCACTAGATGAATAGCAGTTTCAATTTTATCTTCTCTTCAAGTGATCCGTCTAATGCTGTCCAGAAGAACAGAGTACAGACAAATAAGACTTCAAAGCAACAAATGGATTGCTATGAGGGATTCCACAACCTGGAATCTTAAATGCCATTTGTTGCCAAATAGGCTTAGAGAGGAAAATTGATGAGTCTAGAAGTCACAGTTCCAATTTATTTGTGGCTAGGTGATAACAGGTTTTGAAACCATACAATGCAAAAGCATTTATTACATGTAAATTACCAAATCAGTAAAAATTTTAAAAGTATATTCCTCATCATCTAGCCAAATGCATGTTAAAGGACAGTAAACACAGCATCATTTATAATGGTAGAAAACAACAAATAGTGCTAATTATTTAAGTTTCCAAAAGTAAGTTTGGCTAGACAGGCTAAAGCCACAGTGTGGAATGCTATGCAGTCGATAAAGAATAAAATAATCTACAGGTAATGGTACAGAATGGCTTCTCTAATACTAAAGAATGAAAAGAGCCAGGTGCAGAACACTATAAACAATTATGACACCTCATTAAGAAATATCAAAACAAAAAAACTAACATAAAAAAAACCTAACACTCTGTGTACTATTCATGTATAGAAAATGTTTTAAAAGGTCTGGAGGAGATACAAACAGAACCTCTGGCAAGGGGTTCTGGGGTTGTAGGTAGTAGTCAAGGAAGACTATAGTGGGTAAATCTGTCTGATGACTTAACACCAACTTGGGTAGGCTAAGGTACTTAGGTGTTGGTTGAAATTCTAGAAGCTATTTTATATATGTAAATAACAATCAATAGATTTTTGGTAAAGCAGATTACCTTCCATAATATGGCTGGGTATCATCCAATTAACTTAACTGAAGATGTTAAGTCAAACTGAGGTTTCCAAAAGAAAAAGCAATTGTCTCCAACACAATATAAAAGTCCTAAGTGTAGCCTCTGGACATCTGACTCTAGACTATTTTTCAAATTTCTAGCCTGCTACACTGTTATAAATACATTAGGGTTGTCAATCTCCACAATTAGATGAGCCAACTTCTTAAAACTGTTATCTCCCTCTTTTCCCTTCTCTCCCTTCCCTCTATCATTTCTCTCTCTCATTGTTTCTCAGAGAATTCTGAAAATGTTTGCCTTTTTAATGCAAACATGCTCATTTTTACTATATGTAATAAAAAATACAAATTTTAAAAGCAGTTAATCTGTCCCCTTACCTGTAGTTCTTAAATTTAAAAATGCACATTTTATTCAAAACTTAACAGTAAATATTAACAATATATAATACGTAGTTAATAAGTTAACTTTTCAAAATGTGTATGGGGATGGTGAGACAGAATCTGGCTATGTAGCCCAGGACTGAAGTATAGAATTGACCACTGGGCTCATGCCTATATTCTCTACTGAGGAGACAGAGACTGGGGGAATTCAGGGCCAACCCAGACAAAAAAGGAAAAGTTCCATCTTAGCAAACAAGCCAGGCATGGTAGCAGTTTCTCTACAATACCAATTAAATGGGTAGTGTAAGTAGAAAGATGATAATCTGAGGCCAGCCTTGACAAAAATATAAGACCCTACCTGAAAAATTACTAAAGCAAAACAGGGCTAGAGAGGATGGCTTAAATAGATCACTTATTTACGAAGCACACGGTCTAGAGTTCAACTCCAGCACCAAAAAAAAAGGAAATTTGCAACTGATCTTCCTGCCTCAGCCTCCTGGGATTCTATGCTTATTTCACCGGTAAAAAAAAAAAATTTAAAGTATATTCTTGAACAGTCTTATACAACCTCCTACTGACAACATGCAATGGGAATTATGGCAAGAATTTATAATTCACTAACAAGGAAACTTCTAGAGATTTAATTCAATAATAGTATAAAAACATAAGACTGATTTCAGTTTGTAGAGAACACTAAAAACTAGTGACTTAGAAGTCTAATAGTGTGGGGAGGGGCACAGCAGGTGGACAGGAATGTGGCTTAGGGGTAGAGTACTTGCCTAGCACACATGAAGCCCTGGGTCCAATTCCTTAGTACCACATAAAACAGAAAAAGCCAGAAGTGGTACTAAGCAGCTCAAGTGCTAGAGTGCTAGTCTTGAGCAAAAGCAGCTCAGCAACAATGCCCAGGCCCTGAGTTCAAGCCCCAGGACTGCCAAAAAAAAAAAAAGTCTAATAGTAGGGGGGAAAAAAGGCCTAGAAAATGAAATCAAGTTTACCTCTTTTTGTGGACTTCTTTAAAACAAAAGATTGGAAATGCAATTAAATCATGTGAAAATCTTATTCTCTTTATAATATGAAACTTTCCACACAGAATTCAAATAAATTGAACTTGTTCTGCTGGTTTCTCCAAGATTCCAACTCTATAAACAAATATAATTTGGACCCCAATCTGGAATCAAAGAGAAATATATCCTTCTCTTTTTCTCCCTTTTTTCTGTCTTCTTTCTTTTTTTTGTCTCTTCCTTCTCTCTCTTCTTTTCTCTCTTCCCTCACCTCTCTCTCCTTTTTCCTCTTCTCTCTTCCTTCTCTCTCTTTCTTTTCTCTCTTCCCTCTCCTCTCCTTTTTCTTTCTCCTCTCTCTCCCCCTTCTCTCTCTTCTGAGACAGGATCTCCTATGTACCCCAGGTTGGCTTAGAATTCAATGTATAGAAAAGTTGTCCTACAATTCTCATTTTTCCTGCCTCAGCTTTCCGAATTCTGGGATCACTGTATGCACTAACATACTTGGCACATATTCCTGCATCTCCAAGATATTATTTTTATAATATTAGATTCAAATTTTTAAGAATCTTGATTACACATACTGTTTTGTCTTCTCGAAAAAGCCATCCAGTTTGGGCACGTGTGAAAGAAATTGATTTGGTTGATAAAGTTGCAGAATAAATATCACTGCTCATTAAAATGTCAACTTCTTCTTCTGTTTCCATCTCTGATTCCTAGAGGGGGGGTATAAAAATAAAAGAATCTAGGTTTTCTTCAAAAGATTATTAGTGCTATGTATGAATTCATTACCAACTACAATGTCACATATTGGAAAAGTAGACTTCCAAATAATGTGAAGTACTAAAAAACAAACTAGATGATTAAACTTTGTTATCTAGTTTCTTCTCTGACAGATTATAATTATAACCAATTATGAATCTTTGGAAGCATGAAACGCAGAATTTTTACACTATAGATATATAATTAAAATAGTGCTACCAATTACTATAGTGTATAATTTTAAAGCATTTCTTTAAGAATATGACTGTCTCATGTTGTTTAACTTTAAATTTAATCTTTTAGAAATATGTAAGAAAGTATCCAGAAAGATTACATAAAATACTGAATGTTTATATTATGTTCAACTATAAATTTTTTTAAAGTAATTACAAAACATCAATGAAAGATAAATGACCAAATGTCTTTTTTAAATAGGAAATATGATGATGAGAAAGGATGGTTAAAAATTACTCCCAAGTATCTGAGTTAAGAAAATGGTAACATTCACCAAAGGAAGGAAAACAATAGTATGACAGGAAAATGAGTGAAGTTTTAAATGAGGCAATTTTAAAGTACTTGGGAAACATGCACTATCTACCCATATAAAAACAGATAGTCTCCACCTTGAACTAACTAAAATATATGTATTTGTGAATCATTAGCCTATATACGAGGAACTTACAGAAGAATGTTCTGAGGTTTTTAAAAATAAGAACTCAAAAAAGGGCTGGGAAGGTGGCTCAGTGGTAGTAGAGTGCTTGCCTTGCATGCCTCAGGCCCTGGGTTCGATTCCTCAGCACTACATAAGCAAAAAGAAAAAAGCCGGAAGTGGCGCTGTGACTCAAATGGTAGAGCGCTAGCCTTGAGCCGAAGAGCTGAGGGACAGCACCCAGGCCCAGAATTCAGGCCCCACGACTGGACCCAAAAAAAAAAAAAGAACTCAAAAAAGAGCATATCAGTATTTCAAAGATAAGCAGAGGGGAAAAAAATGAGCAAAAGAAAGAAAGGAGAAATGGGAAAAGGGCAACTACTATCCAAGGTAAATCTGAAGAAAATGACAATTTCAAGAACTGAGTTACTAAGTAGCAAATGCTTAATAAAAGTCTACTAAAAACGTAGTTGAAGCTGGGCACTGGTAGCACATGCCTGTAATCCTACCTACTCAGGAGGCTGAGATCTAAGGATGAGATTCAAAGCCAGCCCGGGCAGGAAAGTCCCTAAAACTCTTATCTCCAATAAACCACTCAGAAAACCAGAAGTGGTGCTGTAGCTGAAATGGTAGAGCACTAGCCTTGAGCTGAAGAGCTGAGGGACAGTGCTCAGGCTCAGAGTTCAAGCCCCATGACCGACCAAAAAAAAAAAAAACATAGTTGGAAGTAAATATACTAATTTTAGCAATGGACTCAAAATAAATATTACTTGAAATCCTAAACATTTATCCAAACATCCCCAATCTACCAAGTGCCACCACCATCATCCATTCTTCAAGCCAGCATCACTACACTTAACCTTAAGCTTTTCTTCATCTTAATTCACTCATCTGACATCACTGACAACTTCTAACAATCCTTGAAAATTATGTCATAGTTTCTTAATCACTTATGACACTATCCTAATATCTTCCTCACCCCTCAAATAACGGTAAAAATTTCTCATACACAAAAAAGAACTCCATCCTTATACTTAATAATTTAAACTTATGCCACCAATCATAATCTTCCAATTCATTTTACATGCTAGCTATGTGATCTTGAAGCTGTCATTTAACATCTATAAGTCTCAATTATCTCACCTGTAAAATACAAAAACTATCTTATTTGACTGATTATCTTATGGAGGAAACAGAGTACTTACATTATAATCCTAATATTCTGGCATTAATTTTTGGTATATGTTAAGAATCAATTTATACTGCAAATACAAACCATCCAAACAGTTTTCTAAAAGCACCAACCAGTGCCTAGAATGTATTAGGTCCTTGATAAATGTTTTGAGAATCATAGGAAAGAAAGAAATGAGAAAAGAACAGATCAAGAAAAGGAAAATCAAATAAACATATAAGATCAAGTCACCTAAATTACTTTTGATCAAATCAAGAGTCTTGTTTAAAAATCATGACACAAACTAGGAGCCAGTCTATCTTGGACAACACAGAAGACAAAAGACACCTCTCTCTCCCCCAAAAAAAAAAAAAAAAAAAATACTGTAGCACTACAATAACACAGATACTATAAAAATTTTCTTTGGTTTATAGTGAGGAAAGGAAACAAAGGCAAAAAATGTACTTTGAAAGGGAGAAAAATAAATGGTAGCCAAAGACAAGGAGTAAAAAGAATGGCTAAAGAGCCAAAAGAATATTCATATTAGCCGGTGGCGCATGCCTGTAATCCTAGCTACTCAGGAGGCTGAGATCTGAGGATCACTGTTCAAAGCTAGCCTGGGCAGGCAAGCCCATGAGACTCTTATCTCCAATAAACCACTAGAAAGCCAGAAGTGGCGCTGTGGCTCAAGCAATAGAACACTGGCCTTAAGCTGAACAGCGCAGGGACAGTACCTAAGCCCGGAGTTTAAGCCCCATGAACGACCAAAAAAAAAAAAAAAAAAAAAAAAAAGTGTTCCTATTAAGGAGATAAAGGTCAACAATGCTGAAAATAGCAAACGTAATACACTAAATAGTAGATGTATTTCCAAGAAATGAAACTACAAATGAGAAAAAAGCTGAGGTTCACTGATCTAGGAGATAATCAGCAAATTCTGAACAACTCAATAGACTGGTCAGGATAATAACCATATAATAGAAAAAAATGGGGAGGTAGGGCACTAGAAGTAAGGATATTAAAGCTTTGAGAATAAACCTTCTCAACCATACTTAATGTTCTTAAATTTCTTTAAGAACATTAAGTAGCTCTGAGAACTGATGATTTATACAAAGCCAGCAGAGGCAGGGAAGTCTGGAAGACTAATTTCCAATTAAACATCAAAAAGCCAGAAGTGGAGGTGTGGCCCAAATGGGAGAGTGCCAGTCTTGAGTGAAAAAGCTAAGGAAGAACACTAGGCCTGCCCAGAGTTCAAGCCCCACAATAAATAAACACATACACACAGAAATTGCATGGAGAGTTGGCTAAATATACTTACTTTTTTTTAACCATTTTGAGAAATAGTGATAACATGCTCACCTCATGATGTATCCGCTGATAAACTTTTTGTTCATTGTCTAATACTACAAAAGATTCAGAGGGTGCCGCATCCCCATTGAAAATGAAGCTCAAATCCCCTCGTTGGCACTTCATGTCAGTAAAGTCTATAAGAGTTGTGTCAAGCCTGTGAAGGATTGGTGAGAAACATAAAACCATGATAAAACTTTAGTAACAATTAAGCTAAAACTAAGATGCTACCATATTTCAAATTTAAATTTATAAAAACTAAATTTATTCCAGAAAATGGAAACAAGACTTTTGTTGTTGTTCTTGCTGTTTGTGTTTTGTCTGTCTTTAGAAGGGAAGTGGAGGCAGAGAAATGGAGAGACAAAAGCTGAATAAATGTAGTAATGGTATCACTAGATACCATGTAGAAAATGAACTATACAACTTGTGAGTGAGCATGGAAGGGAAAAATAATTGGGATAGGAGCTGGGAAGGTGGCTCAGTGGTAGAGCGCTTGCCTTGCATGCATGAGGCCCTCCCTCAGCACCACATAAGCAAAAAGAAAAAAGCCGGAAGTGGTGCTATGGCTCAAGTGGTAGAGCGCTAGCCTTGAGCTGAAGAGCTGAGGGACAGTGTTCAGGCCCAGAGTTCAGGCCCCATGACTGGACCCAAAAAAATAATAATAATAATAAATAAAAAATAATAATTGGGATAGTGAAAGGGAAGAGATAACATTTTTTTATGTAACTGTAACCCTTCTGTACATGACCTTTATGTGAGTATAGATAGATTTTTTTTGTTAGTACTGGGGCTTAAATTCAGGGCCTGGGCACTGTCCCTGAGCCTCTCTGTGCTCAAGGCTAGCACTCTACCACTTAAGCCCCAGCACTACTTCCAGCTTTTTCTGTTTATGTGGTACTGAGGAACTGAACCCAGGGTTTCATGCATGCTAGGCAAGCAGTCTACCACTAAGCCACATTCCTAGCCCTGTACCTTTACTATAACAAAAAAAAAATTTAAACTTTACCCATCCATGTCCATTTTATCTGCATTATACTTTTCTGAATATACTTCATTTATTCAGCAAGGAAAATAATAAGTTTTCCCATTGTTAACATATTTCCTTTACTGTGCCTTTTTTCTGACCATTCCATACTGTAGGCACTCAATAAAGGTATAGAAAAAGAAAGGAACTGGGCTGGGAAGTTGGCTCAGTGGTAGAGCGCTTGCCTTGCATGCCTGAGGCCCTGAGTTCGATTCCTCAGCACCACATAAGCAAAAAGAAAAAAGCCAGAAGTGGCGCTGTGGCTCAAGTGGTAGAGCACTAGCCTTGAGCTAAAGAGCTGAGGGACAGCACCCAGGCCCAGAGTTCAGGCCCCACAACCGGACACCCAAAAAAAGAAAAAGAAAAGAACTAACTTTCTTTGATCTGAGACCATGTTACTATTTCAGAAGAGTATTTAGATGGGTAGAACAATATGGATCACATTCTTGGATTTTTTAATTCCAATTTTGACTCAGATCCATATATGCATATGATCCTAGATTAAGTTACAAGGGATATCTAAGACTGACCCAATTCTTGCCTTTTCTCCATCTCTTCTTCTTTCTTGTTTCTATTTATCCATACCTGAGTTCATCCATTTATTTTTTTTTAGTTATCTGTCCATTTCACTGAACACTTTTAAAGCTGATTTTAGTTTTCTTAATCTAGGATCAAAGAGGTGACCATCCTAAGTCTTTTAAGTATTGAATTGCAATCTTCTACTAAATGTACTGCAACTAAACAAAAATAGTTTACTTCAGCCAAGATTTATTTTTTATTTTTTTGGGTACGGTGGTGGGGCCTGAACTCTGGGCCTGGGCACTGTCCCTCAGCTCTTCAGCTCAAGGCACTAGTGCTCTACCACTTGAGCCACAGCACCACTTCGGCTTTTTTCTTTTTTTTTTTTTGGGTCCAGTCGTGGGGCCTGAACTCTGGGCCTGGGCGCTGTCCCTCAGGTCTTCAGCTCAAGGCTAGCACTCTATCACTTGAGCCACAGCACCACTTCCGGCTTTTTTTTTTTCTTTTTGCTTATGTGGTGCTTAGGAATCGAACCCAGGGCCTTAGGCATGCAAGGCAAGCGCTCTACCACTAAGCCACCTTCCCAGCCCCTCGGCTTTTTTCTTTTTGCTTATGTGGTGCTGAGGAATCGAACCCAGGGCCTCATGCATGCAAGGCAAGCACTCTACCACTGAGCCACCTTCCCAACCCCAGCCAAGATTTTATTATCTGTGACTCCTTTATATGTCTCAAATGAATGGAATGTTTAAGTTATTAAGCACAAAAATTGTAAGAAAAATTTTATCTATATTTCAATTCTCAGTTGCTTAAGAAATAAAAAATCAAACTACCTTACCTGATATTGATACCTTGTTTGTATATTTTACATGCATCAGAAGGCAGAATTCGGGAAAGTAAAGGCACTGTATATTTAAAAACAAAATTGTTTTTAAAAATTACCTATAATGCTGAAACATTTACAAGCCTTCAAAAAGTTTAACTACTTTTTAAAAGTAGCAAAAGCATCTCACTAATCCATCAAATTATAACCATTTCCTGCAAAATAGTATTTTTCCACTTTGAAATAATTATGACATACAAAGCAATATTAAATAACTTTATGCTACTTAAGGGTAATTTCAGGTTATTTTACTATAACTTCACCCAAAAACAGAGTTAACAAACTAAAAAAGTAATAAAGTTAATCTAATGCCACTTTGTATCATCATATAATATTTATTATACATGAGTCATCAGTGCCATATGATAATTGAACACACCTAAATAGGGAAGCAGAGGAACCTGGAACTATCTGATGTATTCCTTAAATAGAATTCCCAGAAACAGACAAAAGGTAATGTAAACAGTATACAAATCACTGAAACAAGCCAATGGAAATTAAGTTAGATGTAAAATACGTGCGTTGGTTGTTTAAGTTCATTGTGCCTCAGTTTCATAATCTATGAAACATAAATCATACTATTTATCTACAGCTTTCTTCACTCCAAGTTTTATATAACTCATACCCATATCGTAAGTCAAATTCTGATTTTTGTATTAATATCTTCTATGTTTTAGTAAGCAGAAGTTATTCTGTAGATGAATACATCTCCAACATAGGCAGACTTTAAGTAAACTAAAAAAAGAAAACATGAAGCTCAAAATTCTTAATTAAGACCATGCTTCACATGTATGTGTGCACCTAAACTGCATTTCTATATATGTAAGCTGCCACATTTATATTTCAAAATTCACTATTTAAAAAATTGGTGAAGGATGTCAAGAGCCAGTGGCTCATGCCCTGTAAGGCTAGCTATTCAGGAGGTTGAGATTCTAAGGATTGTGGTTCAAAGCCAGCACTGGCAGGAAAGCTACAATTAACCACTAGAAGCCCAGAAGTGGTACTGTGGCTCAAAATGGCAGAACTGATCAGCCTTGAGTGACAAAGCTCAAGGACAGTGCCCAGACTCTGAGTTCAAGTCCCATGACCAGGAAAGGGGAAAAAAAAAAAAGCTGGGAGAAGGAGGCTGAGAGCTAAGGATCATGGCTTGAAGCCAGCCTATGCAGAGGAAAGTCCAGGAAACTTTCACCTCCAATTAAATACCAAAAAGTTAGAAAGGAGGCTCACGTGACAGAGGGCTAGTCTTGAGCAAAAAAGCTCAGGGACAGCACCCAGAACCTGAATTCAAGCCCTAGGGCAGACAAAATAAAATAAAATAAAAACAAAGAGTTTCTAAGCCTAGAGTTTTCTATCTATATCATAAAACAATCACAAATACAGGAATGAATATTCTGAGGATAACCAGAAAGAAATAAAAACATAAGTTTGTCAATTTATAAACTGAATATATAATACTAAATTTGAAGTTTTATTATGAATACTTAACAATGCAGAAGAAGCATCCTTCCAAAATAATTCATTTCATACATACCAAAAGGAGCCTTGCAAGAGATTATATAGTTACTTTTATTCCATTTTTAAAATAAAAAATAAATAAACCAAATGTTGGTGGCTCACACCTGTAATCCTAGGTACTGAGATCTGAAAATTCAAATGCAGCCCAGGCAGGAAAGTTTGTGAAACGCTAATCTCCAATTAAACACCAAAAAGCTGGCTCAAGTGGGTACAACTCTAGCCTTGAGCAAAAAAGTTTTAATAGTGCCCAGGGCCTGAGTTCAAACCCCTGGACTGACCCAACAATAATTTTAAAAAAAGAAAGAAAAAACCCTGAAGCTCAGGATTTTCTATACTAAATAATTGAAATGAGGGGCTGGCAAGGTGGGTCAGTGGTAGAGCGCTTGCCTTGCATGCATGAGGCCCTGGGTTCGATTCCTCAGCACCACATAAGCAAAAAGAAAAAAGCCAGAAGTGGCGCTGTGGCTCAAGTGGTAGAGCGCTCGCCTTGAGCTGAAGAGCTGAGGGACAGCGCCCAGGCCCAGAGTTCAAGCCCCACGACCGACAAAAAAAAAAACTTTTCTATACCTAACATAGCAGACTTGGGCAGTTCAGTTGCATTCGAAGTTACTATTAATTAAATCAAAAGTTAGTTTCTATGTAAAGTAAAAATGAACAACAGAATGACAAAAAGAATAATGTGCTCTAAGGTCACAAAGTTGAACTTGCCTTGTTATAAATATATTTTGGCTACTTCTAATTTCTGGCTTGCTTTTTAAATAATAATATGGGTTGACAGGAGGAAGTAACATCTCAAAAGTCCATAAAAAAAGTTTGCTTATCAAATCTAGTAATAGAGATTATGTATTTTGCAATACAATGTATGTAGAACATGTAAAAGTAAATGGCCTTAATTTAAATTTATAGATCTATCTGGTACAGTTTTGACCTTCAATCACTAATATCCTTTTCAACAATGAAACAGATGTTCTACCTGATCTCAATGAGGTTTTGACAAAAACCTCAGCTCAGGGTTACATCATACACCTGAGTATGCAACATTTATAATGCATTACTTGTAAATGTAACTACAATCCCAATTCAATAGTTATTACATGTATTCATAGTATCTCTTCATATAATGGAATTGCGTTTAAATATATTTTGTTCAACAAGACAAATGGACTATTTTAGAATTCAAACCACAGCAATTATGAAAACAACCAGTTAGAGTCAACACATACAAGAGACACCCAATTTAGGATCATCAAGCAGGACTGGAGTCTCTGCAGATGAGGAAAAATACACTCAGTCTGTAGATCAATCTGACTTGGAGTTATTTAATTACTAAAACCTACTGAAAAAAATTTTTCTCCATGTATAAACATGTATTTTATAGTAAAATGAAGCACTCTTACCCCAGCTTTGAAAATCCCAGTGAAGTTCTAGATAAAAGTCACCTAGCTGAAAAATGAAATGTGAGAAATTACAAAATCCATTTTAAAATAACAGTTCTTATACCTGCTTATTAATAGCTAATATCATTGAAAGTCTATCAACAAGAACAAAAATAATAGAAAAACAATTATGTTTGTAGAGTTTAAAAAACAGAAAAGTTTCAAAATATGACTTCTTGAGGCATTACAATAGCATACATTGCCAATACTTAATTACAAAAGAAAATACTCTCTACTGCAGAACTTATAAGAATATTTTAATAACATATGAATATATTTTAAGCTGTTAAGTTAAATTTATATCAATAAATACTTTTCTTAGAATAACCAAAATAGCAACAGGCATTATCTTTTAAATAATTAACCTTAAAATTATCAGAATTATTGCTTATATTGAAATGCTCGAAAAAAAGTCCATTGCAACAGAAATTAATTTTAATATGAAGACAAAATATAAGTTACTAACTTCAAAATGGATGATCATATAAGATCTATGGAGAATTTTGTTTTGTTTTGTTTTGGCCAGTTGTGGGCTTGCACTTAGGGCCTGGGCACTGTCCCTGAGCTTTTACTCAAGGTTAGCTCTCTACCACTTTTGGGCCACAGTGCCACTTCTGGGCTTCTGGTGGTTAACTGGAGATATGAGTCTCAGACTTCCCTGCCCAGGCTGGCTTTGAATGATGATCCTCAGATCTCAGCCTCCTGAGTAGCTAGGATTATAGGTGTGAGCCACCAGCACCCAGCAAGAAATTTTATTTCACAAAAGCTACATACCAAAGTGACTGAAGAAATGATTAATTACCAGTGAAACTGCAAAAAACACAGTAACAAATTAATCTTTCCTATTTTAAACACTGAAAAAAAGTGAATGTTAATACCAGAAATCACTGAAAACAAAATATTTTTTGTATTCTTTCTATACTTCTCTAGACCAAAAAATACTATTAATAGCAGTCCGAAGAATAGGCAAACTGTTACCATTGCATAAAAGGTCTTTTTCCCATTCTTCTTTCAGTCATCAAAAAAGAGGAAAAGGACAAGGAGGTATGGTTCAGAAGACAGAGCACCAACCATGAAAAAAACCTGAAAGGTCAAGGTCCTGAATTCAAGCCCCAGTACTGAGTTAAAAAAACAGGAAGAAATAATAATACAAAACAAATCTCTCCCTTTGTGTATCAACACACTTATTTCTTACAACTGTAAGATAAGGCAGACAAAAAAGTGTATTAAGTTATATAAGAAAATATAAACTGCTCCTAGTAATAACAGCTTCAGTTATTTGTAATCTTCCATTGCAAACAACATGAAAATTTATTTCCTTCCATTCATTTTAACTTACCTCCTTTCTTCCTAGATCACATCTCATTTGTTAAAACTAATAAACCTTTAAATTCCAGTTCAAAGAAAATGAGTACTTCTGCTTCACTTATACATTATAATAACAGAACTCTGTTATTTCAATCACTGCTGAATTTAAACATATATTTTACCATTTATTGATGCTAAGTAGCAAGAATTAAACTATATTACAAAAATACTCTACATTGCACCTACAATTATTCTTGAAGTGGAAAATCAGTAAAGAAATAAAACCTACCTCTTTCAAGGCTTTCAATAATCGAGGTCGTTTTTCTTCAACACTTTCCCTGGATTGCTGCTTAAGTTTCCTTAAGAGAGCTGTAACTAAAGTTAAAAAAAAAAAATCAACTTAAGTAGCATTTTCTTTTTTCAATACTTGGGATCAAACCCAGGATTTCACACACTCTAAGCAAGGCCTCTAATACTGAGCCTTATCACTAGTTTCTAATCATTTTTTTACCATGCTAGCAAATACCATTAGCTCATAATACAGTATTCAAATGTGACTACATTACTAATATGTCTAAAAAGTCAAAAATCAGAGAGCAAGAGTTAAATAAGCAAAGGTCTCTTGGAATAATAACCAACTCACACGTAGAAATCAGCAAACACTAGACATGTATGTTCACATACACATACACACACATACACACACACACACAAGGTTAGTATATCTGGTATAATTCCCAAGAATAGTGTGAAAGATAGACTCCTATAAATCAAACACAGTGACACTAGATTACATCATGAGTAAGAATTTTCTTGCTTTGCCACAACATTTTTCAATCTCAGTCTGAAGGAAGATTAATGTCATTTAAACTAGTGCACTAGCCTTGGGCAAAAAAAGCTGAGGGACAGCACCCAAGTCCTGGGTTCAAGCCCCAGGACATACATACACACAAAACACACACACAAAACTAACTCTCTCTCCTCTCTCTCCTCTCTCTCTCTCTCCCTCCCTCCCTCCCTCCCTCCCTCCCTCCCTCCCTCCCTCCCTCCCTCCCTCTCTCTCTCTCTCTCTCTCTCTCTCCTGGGTGCTAGTGGCTTATGCCTGAAATTCTAGCTACTCAGTAGGCCAAGATCTGAGGGTCAAAGTTCAAAGCCAACCTGGGCAGGAAAGTGCATGAGAATTTTATCTCTAATAAACTACTCAAAGAAGAAAGAAAAAAGCCAGAAATAGAGCTGTGCTCACCTCATGGTATTTGCCGCTAGCAAAACAGCTAACGCTACAACCCTAGCTGAACAGAGACAGAGATCTGGGGTTCACCATTCAAAGCCAGCCTGGGCAGGAAAGTCTGTGAGACTCTTCTCACTAATTAACCATCAAAAACCAGAAGTGGATCTGTGGCTCGAAGTGGTAAGAGCACTAGCCTTAAGCAAAAGAGCTTAGGGACAGCACCCACACTCTAAATTCAAGTCCCAGGCTCAGCACAAAAAAAAATTTAAGTTGAGCAAGAACACAAGTCCCTGAAATCAAACCCCAATACCAAAAGAAAAAAAAAAAAAAGAAAAAGCTGAGATACAAAGAATCAGTCTTTTCTAAAAAAAAAAAAGTATTAGTTCCAAGCATTGGTTGTTCATGTCTGTAATCCTAGCTCTCAGGAAGATAAGTTCTGAGGATCACAGTTCCAAGCCAACCCAGACTTATGGTCAATTAACCACAAAAAAGCTGGAAGTGAATTAGTGACTGAAATGTGTTTGCCTTGATCAAAATAAGCTCAGAGACAAGGCTCAGGACCTGAGTTAAAGCCTACAACTAGTACCAAAAAAAAAAAAGGTATCAATAAGTATTCTGTTACTGATTTCCCATGGAAACTTTCTTTGCCTTCTAAAAATTAGGATTGCAATTTGGGGGAGGGGGGGGAGGGAGAGCGTCAGTCCTAGCCTTGAACTCAGGGCCTGGTCACTCATTGCCCCCTGACCTTTTTCAGCTTGAGGCTAGTGCTCTACCACTTGAGCCACACCTCTGATTCTTGGAGATAAAAGTCTCACAGACTTTTCTGCCCAAGCTGGCTTCCAAACACAATACTCAGATCTGTCTTCTGAGTAAGCATGATTATAGGCATAAGCCACTGGCTAGTGACAGGATTGTGAACTCTCAAACAGCAAAAGCTATGTTTTTATTCTTCACATTTTAACATTTTAAAACATATAGGCTTCATATATACTTTCATTGTAAATAAAAGAATCCTTAAAGGTCACAAAAGTCTTGCCCAGCCCTGTGGCTATACCTATAATCTTAGCTACTCCAGAGGCTGAGATGTTGTCTGATTGTGGCTCAAGGTCAACCCTGCCAAAAAAAAAAAAAAATTCAAAAGACTTCCCTCTCAAACAACAGGTAGACAAGGCAGTGCATGCCTGTATCCTAGCTATGTGGGAGGCTGAGAGCAGAGGGATAGAGGTTCCAGGCCAACCTAGGTAAACAAGTTTCCTTGTGTTTCAACAAAACATGCTAGGTGTGGAAGCATACAGCTGTCAGTCATCCTAGCTACACCAGTAAGTATAAATAGGAAGATAGCACTTCAGGATGGCCCAGGCAAAAGCAAGACCCTATCTACAAAACAACTAGAGCAAAGAGCTGGAAGAATAGCCCAAGCAGTAGAGCACCACCCAATGAAGCACCACCCAGTGAGCATAAATCGCTGACCTCAAACCCTCGTACCACAAAAAGGCTAAAAGCCTATTTAGGTTCCCCTTCGGTGTGCTAACTGGAAAAAAAAAAAAAAAAATCAAAGAAAGTTTCTTTACTCTATTTGCTGTATCTTTATTCTCTTAAGCTCTTTTGAATTTACACCTTTTTATCTTTTCTCTGTAATAACTGTGGAATTACTATTTTTTTATTCTTGTAAGGATCTCCTGACATTTGTCAAGAACTGTCAATGTATAACAAAAAAATATATACACTCATTTAATTGCTAAAATATTATCTCATATTATGTCTTAGCTCAAAAATAAACTAATCATTAAAAGTTGCACGAGGAACTCAGGAAGCCAACAAATATATATAATCTGTAGTTTACATATGGAGCTAAATCACACAAAAGTATTCAGAAGAACCCAAAACTTAGCATCAAAATAAGCTTGAAGCTGGGCACCAGTGGCTCACATCTGTTATCCTAGCTACTCAGGAAGCTGAGTTATGAGGATCACAGTTCAAAGCTAGCCTGGGCAGGAAAGTCTGTGAGACTCTTACATCCCATAAACTACCAGAAAATGAAGTGGCACTGTGGCTCAAGTGGTAGAGCACTAGCCTTGAACTGAAGAGCTCAGGGACAGAGTCCAGGCCCAGCCAGAGTTCAAACCCCATGACCAACAGAAAAAAGGTTTTAAAAAATAAAAATGAATCCAACTAACATCCTGGAAATATCCATGATGTGCCATTTCCTAATAAAACTATTTTATTCCCTTCTACAAGGCTATGTTTATAAAGTTAATCATGCCTAGAACTGTAAAGAAACAGCACAGTTTGTGCTTTATCTAAAGTCAACTTTTTGTAATTATCCAGTAGATGTACTTGACAAAAATAAGATCCATACAGAAAGTTAAAAAGAAAATTATTTGTAAGAGGAAGGGAGTAGAATAAGTGAACATTTTCTATATTATGAAACAGTCTGTGCCATGTTTTTCAATGTACTCATTTTAAGACGAAAGTCTTGCTCCCAGCTTCCAGCAAAGCCTGCTACCAGCTAAAGTAGATAATCATTATTACAACATGATTATTTTTAACTCCAATTAATAATACAAACAGTTAAATAGTTTGCCAGAAATTACAATCCGGACTACCTTTAAAAAAGACAAAAAGAAGGACCAGGTGCTGATGGTTCATGGCTATAATTCTAGCTAGTCACAAGGCTTAGATCAGAGGATCATTGTTCAAAGATCCCCTCAGAAGAAAAATACAAAAAACTAATTTCCAAATTAGCCATTAAAAGAAGCAGATCGGGCTGGGAAGGTGGCTCAGTGGTAGAGCGCTTGCCTTGCATGCATGAGGCCCTGGGTTCGATTCCTCAGTACCACATAAGCAAAAAGAAAAAAGCCGGAAGTGGCACTGTGGCTCAAGTGGTAGAGCACTAGCCTTGAGCTGAAGAGCTGAGGGACAGTGCCCAGACCCAGAGTTCAGGCCCCACGACCGGACCCAAAAAAAAAAAAAAAAAAAGAAGCAGATAAAGTGCCAGGTTGGAGCCAAAATTTAAAAAAATAAAAATAGGGCCGGGCCCTGGTGGCTCACGCCTGTAATCCTAGCTACTCAGGAGGCTGAGATCTGAGGATCGCGGTTCAAAGCCAGCCCAGGCAGGAGAGACCGTGAGACTCCTATCTCCAATAAACCACCAGAAAACCGGAAGTGGCGCTGTAGCTCAAGTAGTAGAGCCTTGAGCTGAAGAGCTGAGGGACAGCACCCAGGCCCAGAGTTCAAGCCCCACGACCGACAAAAAAAAAAAAATTAAAAAAATAAAAATAAAAAAATAAAGCTCTGATTTCAAGCCCTATCACTGACAACCAAAAACGGAAATTCAACTACCAATAAGGAAGGTAGAATACTGCAAGGAAATGAAAAACACATACTTTTAAACATGACCCTTCAATTTTTGTACTGTTCAATATGCAAGTTCCTAAGTTATAAATAATCTATATAGAAGCTTATATATATAAAAAAATTGCAAAATTTAGTATAGGAATTTATACTTAGTAAAAATTACTTCCAACACATCACTTTGTAGATTGTTTATCAACAACAGTAATTCATATTGCTTACTCATCTGTCTATCTCCATAGCTGATGGCTTCTGCCAGAGGGCTCCATCCCTGAGCATTTTTCACCTTTACTGGAGCATTGTGAGCCAAAAGTAAATGGGCACATTCTGCAATAAAAATAACATAAACAACACTATTATGAAATATGCAATTTTTGGAATCTCTTAAATATAAATATCATATAAAAGCTTAATAAATCAAATTAGTATAATACTGTCCTACATATAATTAATTAAAACCAGATCATTTCAGATCAAATGATTGAAAAGCATCACCCTACCTAACAATAAAGTGAAATCTCTGTACACAGGAAACATTATATTCACTATTAATTGTGTCCAAGAACATTTTAAGAATGTGTCTATAAGCTAAAAGCTAGGAACTTTGAGATTAGTTTACATGTATACCTGTAATATCTAATGGAAAATCCTTATTTTAGGGGGAAAAAAATGTATCTTCAAAAAAGGACCTGTAATGTTTCCATAAACCCTTATTTTTCAAATTTTGTAATTCTTTCAGTTTGAAAAAACTCTCCCTCCAAAAACAAAACTCTGGTTTTGATTATAAAATCTGAACAGTCTTCCAAGTAATCAAAAGAAATCCAACTTACAGACCCTTCTAAAGGTTGAGAAAATGTTTAAAAAAAATAGAAACACGAGATCAAGGGGATAGGGGAGGACAGATTAATGGAGCGAGATAAAGTAAGAGGATACATAATATTCAAAGTACATATACAAAAATGGAACCCAGTAAATTGAGGAGATGAGTTAGATTGGGAAAGATGGAGAAGGATGAAAGGAGCAACACTGATCAAAGATGGATTGTACTCATAATTGAGAGCTGAGGATTGCAGTTCAAAACTAGCTGAGGCAGGAAATTCTGTAAGACCCTTATCTCCAACTAACCCCCCAAAAAGCCAGAAATGGAACTGTGGCTCAAATTGCAGAGTGCTAGCCTTGAGTAAAAAGCTCAGAGACCTTAGACCTCAGTTTAAGGCACAGGATTAGCACACGCATGTGCACAAACACACACACACGTAGACCCACACACACACACAAACAAAATTATGAAATATATTTAAATTTTTAAAATGTAGCTGGGAGTGAGCAGTGCTACAGATTTAAAATCCCAGTTGTTCTGGAAGCAGTGGTAGGAAGATCTTGCAGGATTAGATGATGATCAAGAGCTAGCCCAGGGCAAAAAAGGAGATACTCCAAAAACTAAGTCTTGTAAAATAAACTATGGGTATGACTCCAGTGGTGGAGTGCTTACCTAACAAGCACAGGGCCTTAAGTTCAAACCCCAATACAAAGCCAGAAATCAGTGACTCATTCTTGATACTCAGAAAGCCTACATAGCTGTGCATCACAGCTTGAAGCAAGCCTGGGCAGAAAAGTTCACAAGAGTCTATCTCCAAACTAACAAACTCTGGACTGGAGGTGTGGCTCAACCGGTAGAGGAGGGAATAAAAAAGTAATCATGCTATTATAATTATGTATCATGTAAAAGACTTTATTACCAGGTATGGTGGTTTATACATATAATCCCAGTCCCTTGGGAAACAGATTGGCAGGACTGATGCTCAAAGTCAGCCCAGGAAAAAACACTGGTGAGATTTTAATCTCTACAAGTAAAGCTGGACACACGAATCATCCCAGTAATCCAAGCAATGGTAGAGCTGTAGATAAGATAATCCCAGTCTTAAATCAGCCTTGAGCAAAAAGTATAAGATCCTATCTGAAAAATAACTGAAAAACAAAAAGGCTAGGGTTTCAATTCAAGTAGTAGAATGCTTGCTTAGTAGGCTTGAGTTCAACTACTAGTTCCAACAAAATAAAGAGAATAGACTTTAAAATTTAGTTATGTAAAACATATTAAAAGTGATAGTTCTCATAAGCATTACATTAGTAAACCTTAGTAATTAGAAATAAACCTTCTAAAATCATAAATATTTGCTAAATAAAATATTCAACTGAGGTTGGGAATGTGGCTTAGTGGTAGAGTGCTTGCCTAGCATGCATGAAGTCCTGGGTTCAATTCCTCAGTACCACATACACAGAAAAAGCTGGAAGTGGCGCTGTGGCTCAAATGGCAGAGTGCTAGCCTTGAGCAAAAGAAGCTCAGGGACAGTGCCCAGGCCCTGAGTTCAAGCCCCAAGACTAGAAAAAAACAAACTAAGGGAGAAAAAGGTTTTGGTTTTTTTTTTCAATTTTTTTTTTTTGGTCCGGTAGTGGGGCCTGAACTCTGGGCCTGGGTGCTATCCCTCAGCTCTTCAGCTCAAGGCTAGCACTCTACCACTTGAGCCACAGTGCCACTTCTGGTATTTTTCTTTTTGCTTATGTGGTGCTGAGGAATCGAACCCAGGGCCTCAGGCATGCAAGGCAAGCGCTCTACCACTGAGCCACCTTCCCAGCCCGGGAGAAAAAGTTTTAAATGACGTAAGATTAGTACAGGATTTCCCTTAGCTCTCTTCAGAAAGAGGCTATGGAAAAAAAAAAAAAACATTTATTAATATTAGTATACTAAATCCTAAATTCAATTACAAATGAGCTAAGCTTTATAAAACACAAATGATAAGACTCATCCTGACATTTTTAAACTCACTATACATGTAATAAGCAAAGTTAAACATAAAAAAAATTTACTAACCTTTATTTCCTAACATCACAGCAAGATGTAAAGGAGTATTTCCTAAAATTAAAAATAAATAAATTAGAAAATAGAATGTAACCAATTTTACTTAAATGTGGTTTTAACTTCTTCCAAAATTTCACAGAACAATTTTAAGCAAAAGTAACATGATTATAAAAATTACTGTATAAAAATACTGCTTATAGGATGCAAATTCAAAGTCCTAGTATGCCAGGGTTTCTCAGTACCCTACATTACTCCATGACGCTATGAAAAATTTTTTAAAAATTCATTCATTGTATCTTTGAGATCTTCCCTAAATAGAGTCTAAAATAAAAACACCATTTTCTACTTTTTGCAAACTAAATATGCACATCCTTGACGACAGAGAGCATTAAGATCCAGTCCAGAATTTTTTTTCTGCTATTAGAAATGTGTATGTCTGTAAACAAAAGCAATACTAACTAGTACCCCAGCTTTAAACAAATACAAAAACACCAAAACACATACATAAGAAACAGATACTACAAAGATGAAACTAAAGGCAAAGATTACTTAAAAGGTATGCACTTTGGACTGTATACTGTAATCAGTATCACCCAATAATTAATTCAAAATGGTAACAGACAATGCTTAGAGACTAAAATGTTCTTGATAATTCATTTGTTAAAAACTGACAAGCCAGCTGGGCGCTGGTGGCTCACATCTGTAATCCTAGCTACACACAGGAGGCTGAGATATGAGGATCCCGATTTCAAAGCCAGCCTGGGCAGAAAAGTCTGTGAGACTCTCATCTCCAATAAACCACCAAAAAAAAACCAGAAGTGGCACTGTGGTTCAAGTGGTAAAGCACTAGCCTTGAGAGCTGAAGAGCTCAGGGACAGAGCCCAGGCCCAGAGTTCAAGCCTCACAACCAACCAAAACAAAAACAAAACAAAGGGTTGGGAAGGTGGCTCAGAGGTAGAGCGCTTGCCTTGCATGCATGAGGCCCTGGGTTCAATTCCTCAGCACCACATAAGAAAAAAGCCAGAAGTGGTGCTGTGGCTCAAGTGGTACAGCACTAGCCTTGAGCTGAAGAGCTGAGGGATAGCGCCCAGGCCCAGAGTTCAGGCCCCACTACCAGACCAAAAAACAAAACAAAAACTGACAAGCTGGGCTGGGAATGTGACTTTGTGGTAGAGTGCTTGCCTAGCATGCATGAAGCCCAGGATCTGATGCCTTAGTACCACATACACAGAAAAGCGTAGGAAGTAGCTCTATGGCTCAAGTGGTAGAGTGCTAGCCTGGAGCAAAAGTTCAGGGACAGGGCCCAGACTGACTTGAGTTCAAGCTCCAGAAACAGCACAAAAACACTGAAAGTAGTTAATTTTAAATAAAACTTAGTAAATTTTACGTAAATACAGAAGTAAGCACATCAAGAATTCTGGTCAATAAAATGAGCTAACCATTATAAATGATCATATGATAAACATCAATAGACTTAACTGTTTCTTTCTAGAACATGTAAAATCTCCCCCAAGTATTTCAGCTCAATGAAACCTTCCAAAATAGCCAGGCACCGGTGGCTCACTCTTGTAATCCTAGCTACTCAGGAGGCTGAGATCTGAGGATCACGGTTCAAAGCCAGCCTGGGACAGAAAAGTCAGTGAGACTCTTATCTCCAATAAGCCACCAGAAAAACCAGAAGTGGCCCTGTGGCTCAAGTGGTAGAGGGCTAACCTTGAGCTGAAGAGCTGAGGGATAGCACCCAGGCCCAGGGTTCAAGCGCCAGGACCAACAAAAAGAAAAAAAAAAGAAAAGAAAAGAAAAAAAAGGGAAGTGAAAAAAGTATTGTTTTAGAAATGTTGATTATAAACCAAATTTAGAATAATGAAGAAAAAGGGCAATTTCATTCCAGGCATTTTATATACAAAGCTGGTAAGCTTTTTTCACGTGTTAAAATCAAGTATCTATCCTAAAGAAAATTCCTGTATGCTAAAAATAAATACTGAATTTTTTGCATCAGGAATTCAACAAAACAAAATTTTTCTACCATGTTCTATTGAAACATGTACAATGTGAAACAGTAATGTATTTATAACAGGTGAGCAAATATCTGTGGGTTAGGTTAAACTATTCTGTGCCTTCACGGGAAAGCATAATATAAGGTAAGAAAAAAAGACACAACATGAAAAGTATTTACACTTCCTAAATTTGCATTCACATTCTGCAACAATTCACCAAGACCAAAAAGTCATCACAAAAAGTAAACAAAACATATTAACAGATCAAGGTAGAGAAGGGCTTTGTGGATCATACCTATATTCCTTAGCTACTCAGGTGGCTGAGATCAGAGGATCCCAGTTCAGAACCAGCCAGAGTGGAACAGTTCATGGAACTCTCATTTCTAAATACCAGTAAAAAGCTGGAAGTGGAAGTATGGCTCAAGTGGTAAAGTGCTAGACTTGAAATAAAAAGAGTTTAAACCCCAGTACCAACACACACACAAAATAAATACAATTAAAACCTGTCTGTTACTTGAAAAATCAGAAATACTCCTTGTTATTTGACTTTTGTTTGGGTTTCTGTTTTTGGAGACAGGGTCTTGCAACCTGGCAGCAGACTCTATCCTACCTCTACCTTCTGAGTGCTGGGATTAGAGGCAAGGAGAAATAATCCTTTTTTTACTTTTAACATGCTATAAAGGGTTTCCAATAAATGCTTCCCTTTCTTCTACCTCTCCTTATCTCATGAAAACTACATAATTTCTCCAATAATCTAGTTTCTCAAGTTTTTATAACACATATTGTTAATGTGTCCTAAATATTCCTTCTCCATTTGCCTGATATGGTAACACTTTGAGACATCTTTTTTTTTTTTTTTTGGTCAATCTTGGGGCTTGAATTTTGGGCCTGGGCACTGACCCTCAGCTCTTCAGCTCAAGGCAAGCACTCTACCTTTTGAGCCACAGCGCCACTTCTGGCTTTTTCTGCTTATAGGGTGCTGAGGAATCGAGCCCAGGGCTTCATGCGTGTGAGGCAAGTGCTCTACCACTGAGCCACCTTCCCAGCCCCATCTCTTCAAGGAAGCTTTTATTGGCCTGAAGATGACCCTCTTCTCTGTTCTGCGCTCAAAGCAGAACAAAGCTTATTTTCTTGATCTATGTATGGCAAATGTTTCACATGCACATTCAAAATATCAAGCTGGGAGCCAGTGGCTCACACCTGTAATCCTAGCTACTCAGGAGGCTGAGATCTAAGGACCTCGGTTCAAAGCCAGCCCAGGCAGGAACCTCTGTGAGACTCTTATCTCCAATAAAAAGAAAAAGAAAAAGCAGGAAGTGGCACTGTGGCTCATGTGGTAGAGACTGGTCTTGAGCTGAAGAGCGGATGGATAGCACCCAAGCCCAGAGTTCAAGCCCCATGACCAGGAAAAAAAAAAAAATATATATATATATAAAGAATATATATATTGATATATCTATATAGCAAGAAACACTGCAAATCAACGAACGAGGGAAAAACATAAAAATATCCTTACGATTATAATGTAACTCATATTACCTCAAAAATTCAAATGTTTCTACAATTAGGTAACGTAATTTGAAAGGATTTAGTGTTCTTTTTTTTCTTTTAAATTTATTGTTGTGCTGGTACAGGAGCTTGAACTCAAAGGCCTCAAGCTTTCACTCAAGGCTGATGTACTACTACTACTTGAGTTACCCATCTACTTCTAGATAGTTTGCTAGTTAATTGGAGATAGGACTCTCAGGGACTTTTCTGCCTGGTTAGGCTTCAAACCATGATCCTCAGATCTCAGCCTGATAAGGAGTTCGATTACAGGCATGCTCATTCTGCCCCTGCCAAAGCCTCTGGTATTTACTTTCAGTACATTTTAGAACCCTTATAAAACCACCAGGGCCATGCACTTCTGGCTCACACCTTTAATCCTAGCTATTCAGGAGGCTGATATCTGAGGATCATGGTTCAAAGCCAGCTGGAACAACCAAGTCAGTGAGACTCATCTCCTAAAAATTGAAAGTGGCTCTGTGGCTCAAAGTGGTAGAGCACTAGCTTTGAGCAGAACTACTCATGGAAGCATGCAGGACCCATATTCAAAGCCCATGACTGACAAAAAAATTAAATAAAACCACCAGGATCTGGGTATCCTGACACACCCCTGTGATCCTAACAGTTCAGGTTGATACAAGACAGAAAGCTTGAGATTATCCTAGGATACACAGGGAAAATCTGGGTTTTTTTGTTTTATTGACCTTTTGTTTTTAAAGATGAGAAAGTTAACCAGACAATAGCTCTCATCCATAATCCTAGCTATTTAGGAGGCTGAGACCTAGAAAGCCATGACTCAAAGCCAGCCAGTGCAGAAAAAATTTTTTTTTTTATTTTTTGGTCCAGTCGTGGGGCCTGAACTCTGGGCCTGGGCACTGTCCCTCAGTTCGTCAGCTCAAGGCTAGCCCTCTACCACTTAAGCCACAGCACCACTTCCGGCTTTTTTCTTTTTGCTTATGTGGTGCTAAGGAATCGAACCCAGGGCCTCAGGCATACAAGGTGAGCGCTCTACCACTGAGCCACCTTCCCAGCCCCCAGAAAAATTTTACAAGACTCCATCTCCAAAGTAGCTAGCAAAAAGTGTGGCCACAGACGTGACTTATGTGGTAAAGCACCAACCATGAACAAGAAAGCCAAGTGAGATGGTGAGGCCATCTCACTTTGAAAGGTTTCTTTCAAAGGAAATTTTATGTTCCTTATTATCATCTTTTTTTTGGGCGGGGGGGGGGGGGGGTCAGTCCTGAGACAGGAACTCCAGGCCTGGGTGCTGTCCCTCAGGGATTCAGCTCAAGGGGAGCACTCCACCACATGAGCCACAGCGCCATTTCCGGTTTTCCAGTGGTTTATTGGAGCTAAAGATTCTCACACACTTTTCCATCCCAGGCTGGCTTTGTGAACCGTGATCCTCAGATCTCAGCCTCCTGAGTAGCTAAGATTACAGGCATGAGTCAGGGGAACCCAGCTTATCATCTTTCTTATATCTTGTAAATGGACTATTTTTATTATTCCATC